TACAACTATAAATAATTTGGTATTGTTTTATTTTTTTATCAATAGGATATTCAGAAGTAATTTATTTTGTGAATTACATAACATTTGACTCTAATATGCAGTTAATATCAAAAAAGTTGTAAAATATGCGAATAAATAAAAAAACCTCAAAATATGCAATTATATGCAAAATAAAATTTTGTATTTGGATTTGTTTAAGTATAATTCAAATTTGTAGCTGATCTAGCAATTTTTTAGTCCATTCAGTAAAAACATGCAAATGCATGAACTTCCGGGCCCTAGTTATTACTGTATACAAGATAATGAAAAGTTATGTACCTATAGTTATGTGAAATAAACATTTAGCATTCATCAACATATTTTATTATTATATATTATTATTAATAAATATAATTAATAAATAATATAGTTATAATTATCTACTACTCTAAAATATCTAAACTGTATACTAGTTTGAATCATTTCTAAAAGTTAACCTAACCTGGTGTGTGGGGCTGGAATAACGTTATTCCAGCCCCTCCTGCGAAAAACGAATTTTTCTCGGTGAATGAGCTCCGTACAAATTCTGAAAATGGTCGTACAAATTTATACAAATTACGTACTAATTATTCGCATTAAAAAAATCACACTTTTCTGGATGGTGGGGGGCAGGGTAGTGGACGTGTTTTTAAATTGTATTGCAATCTATTGTAACAGTATACGAGTATTAAAAAATAATACATTTGTGGTGTTCTTTAACTAATAAGTTATTAGTTAATAACATATCGCACCTCTAGAACAAGACTGCCACAACTCAAAATTCATAGTTTTGAGTAAAAGCGATTTGAAGTTTAGAACTAAAATATTTTACAGATTTTTTTACCTATGCATTTGAAACTAAATACTTAAATACTTACTAACGTGTTTTATAGTATGATTTCTTCAAATATTGTAAAATACCCTCTTTAATCCGAAAAATTAGACTAATGGTCTTATACAATTTTATAAGTAAATGCTAAACTGCCATATTTTGAGATGTGGCTGTATTACTTAGACAAATTGAAATAAGACAGTCTTGAATTTTGAATTCTGTGATTTATTGGAAGAATTAAAAAATGTTTACTGTCTTAAAGTAAATATGACTTTGTTGCATTGAAAATTACCAAAAAATTGAGTAATTCAATACTGACATATTTTTTTAATGTAAAAACGAAAAATTATATTGAATGTGACGTTATTGCTTTGTATAGAGCTACATTTTTACTCTCAGAAAGTAATCGTCACTCATAATTGATGAATTTTGAGTTGTGGCAGTCTTGTTCTAGAAGTGCGATATACTAATAATTAAAATCATGGATAAATTTGTTACTCGTTCTGTTGACAGAGCGTTGTTAAACTACCAAAAAAAAAAAAAAACCAAAATATAGTAATATTCGTCAGTATCATGAAAATTACTTAAAAATGGGATTTTCTTGTACTGGTGATATGGATGATCCTCGTCCATGGTGCCTTGTATATGGTGAAAAATTATCAAATGAAGCAATGGTGCTCAGTAAACTTAAACGACATTTGTTTTCTAAGTATTCACATTTGATTGACAAAAATATTACATGTTTTCAACGTTTATTAGTCACAATCTCAACAAAGTAAAAATATGACAAAAATTGTGAAGATCTCTGAAAAATCTCAAGAAGCAAGTTAAGTAGTTACAGAGCTTGTAGTTAAAATAATGAAACCACATACAATAGGTGAGCAGATAATTTTACCTGCTTGCCGTGAAATTGTGAAAATATTCTTTGTAATAGAAGCTGAACAAGAAATATTGAAAATTCCTTTATCTGATAATACAATTAGTAGGCGCATAAACGACATGTCCGAAATTATTGAGCAACAAGTATTAAATAAGCTACGCGATTCTCATATGTTTGCGCTACAAATAGACGAATCTACAAATTTAAGTGGAAAAGCACAGCTTTTGGTTATTGTACGTATGGTAGTTGACGATATTAGTGAAAACTATTTTTGTTGTAAAACATTGCCTGGAAAAACGAAAGGTGAAGATGTTTTAAAAGTTTTGGACGAACATTTCGAACATTTATCATCAGTAAGTTTATCATGGAATAATTGTATTGGAATATGTACTGATGAAGCACCTTCAATGATTGGCTCAATTAAAGGTTTCATTTCTTTAGTCAAGAAAAAAAATTCAAAAATTATTTTTACCCACTGCTTCCTTCATAGAGAGACCCTAATGGTAAAATCTTTAGTAAGTGATTTATAATATATACTTGATCAGGTTGTAAAAATCATAAATTTTATTAAATGCCGATCTCTTAAATCAAGATTATACGAAAACATTTGTGAAGAGATGGATGCAGACTATTTAAGATTGATTTTATACAGCGCAGTAAGATGGCTCTCTAGGGGCAATATTTTATCACGATTTTACAATTTGAGAGAGGAGTTACTTATATTTTTAACGATGGAAGAATCTGAATTCAACTTTCTTGGTGATGAAGTGTGGTGGACAAAGTTATCCTTTTTAACTGATTTGTTTGAGCATCTCAATAAACTAAATTCAAGTATACAAGGTCGCAATGAAAATATGTTAACATCTTCAGATAAAATAATGGCTTTCATCGAAAAATTGAATTTATGGAAAACTAAAGTTAATCAAGGTAATCTAATTATGTTTCCACGTACTGCTCTGCTAGTTGCGGATGACAACATTTTGTCATTAATAGTCGAGTCTATCGCATTTTAGGTTGGAAGTAAAAATGAATATATTTTCTAAGTATTAATATTAAAATTTACGAGACCCTTTCAAAGTGTCTATTAGTTACTTGGTTGATTTCAAACTTGCTGAAGACGAAAATCTCTGTTTAATTAAAAATAATCGAACAATGCAGTTGAAATTCAAAGAGATCACACTCAATAAATTCTGGATATATGTTTCTGAAGAATATCCAGAAATATCTATAAAAGCATTGACGATTCTTTTGCCGTTCTAAACTTCATAATTTTGTGAACAGGGGTTTTCAGCGCTTACGAATATAAAAAATAAAAAACGAGAAAAAAAAAATTTAATGGAGGAAGAAATGACGGTATGTCTGTCAACTATTCGTCCAAACATTAAAAATATTTGTAACGCTCATCAGGCACACATTTTTCATTACATGCATGTACAAACTACACTATTTTTTTGTAAATAAATTTAATAACTAATACAATGTAATTATAATTAATAAACATTTGTCAGCTCATCGAGCGCACTTTTCTAATTAAATGTATATAATTATAATTCAAAACAATTTTGTTAATCTAAAAAAAAGGTCAGTGTGCCGTGAAAATTTTTCGAAGAGTACGGTGCGCTGTGTCTAGTAAAAGTTTGAAAACCACTGGTTTAGATATTCAGTGTTCACAATTGTGTCATAAGTTTGTGCGAATTTTCTACACAGTGTTATACATTTCCCTTTTTTTTAGTTTTTACGTTTGATTTAAAATCGTCCCGTCAATATATTTTTTTTTTTAGGTAATATGGTCAATCAAATTACTGGAAATAAATTACCTTCCAATGGAGAGTGCCTTCGGGTATTATTTTATAACATGCGCGTTATAAATTTATATTTAAATGATAGTTCGGGCCTTGTTGCTGATGAATGCTTATTGTTTTGGAAAAATGCAAGAATACCTACTCAATATCATTGTAATATAGTTTGAAAAATAAAAAATATATATGAAAGTTGGCGAAGTTTAGATAAAAATAAAACAAGAAAGTCTGTAACACAACAGTACAATGAAAAAAAATTTCAAAACTCATTAAATAATTTGTTTGATATTGCCCAAAAAGATGCTTTCAATATAATTAAAATCGAAGAAGACAGGCAGTTTCCCTCCAACGGATTGGCCATCTCCTGTAATTAGGAACAGTCAAAACCAGAAGCTGACCAATCTGATAAATTTAGGAACACACGGAGTATTACACCCTGATTACGCCCGTACGTACGTATGACTGTTTGCGTTTATAATAGTTTCATTTTACAAGTAAATTCAAACATTATGGCGACTAAAAAAAAAAAAAAAAATTGTGATGAACATCATTTTTTTAATAATTCTTGGGTTAATTTACTTACTAATAATACTTTTTCGTCGAAAACAAAGGTAAACCATTATGTTTAATTTGTCAAAAAATTAAATTTTTTCTTAAAATCAATTTTTTCCAGTAACATTCGTATTTTTTACACTCATATTTCTATATAAAATAATAAAATATAATAGCAATACTATTATTAGTTTATATTATATGTAAAAATATTTTTTAATGTGGCCCTTGATAAAAATTTGAAAAAAAATATGGACACTCACGTGAATATCTATCTATTGATACAGTTACATCAACAGATGATGCTATTCATTATCCACAAGAATTTCTCAATTCTCTTTCTCCTTCGGGATTTCCTCCTCATAAGCTAAAATTAAAAATTGGTGCTCCAATTACATTATTACGTATTATTATCTTCAACCACCGAACTTGTGTAACGGTACAAGATTACAAATAAAATAGTTGCGAAATAATATTATAGAAGCCGTAATTCTTACAGGGTCAGCGAAAGGAGAAATTGCATTTATTCCAAGAATTTCCATGATTCTCTTAGACTTGCCGTTTTCTTTCAAACGGCTTCAATTTCCGGTTAATTTTTCTTTTGCCATTACCATAAACAAAGCGTAAGGTCAAACATTCAAGTACGTTGACGTAGATCTTCGTACAGAGTGCTTTTCACATGGGTAATTATACGTGGCATTTTCTCGGACTGGGGACCCGAATCATCTTATGATTTTAATTTCAACAGGAAATACAACAAAAAACATCATATACTCAGAAGTCTTATAAAATTCTTATTTTAATTCTTTTTTTTTCTTTTTTTTTCTTCATCAACTTCAATCAAATTCTTTATCAACCATAAATTATTTCTTTTTTATCTGTATTTATTTTTATCATTTATAACGCTAGAAAAATTTCAATCCGTTTTCATTAACCATTTTTTTATATTTACTTGCCGATCACATTAAACAATAATATTTGAATAAAAAATTCTACATATCATGGTCCGAAGGCAAAATAAACAACCAATCACGGGCGAAGCTGTGACGGGTCGGCTAGTATAATATAATTGATGTTCACAAATTTAATGAAGTGGTATTAATGCTTAAACATTTAAGTTGGTAGAACCAGTGGCGCATTTAATACATACGCGCCATACGTTTTGCGATATTGTATTAGATAATTTTATAGTTAAATCATTGGTAATACATATCCTAACGTTAACCTAATTTTTTTTTTTTTTCAGTGAATATTCCTTTCTTAAAATATGTATATATATATATATATATATTAAATATAGAAAACGGAATTTATACTTATTATATGCACAATAATTAACAACACATGGTTTTTTTTATTAGATTAAATATATTATATTTATTATTAATTATATATAATAAAAAAATCGATAGCTTATAATTTTTTTCTTGACTTTTGAGAAGAAAAATGTTCAATAATATCATTAAAATTAATAGTTTTCGTTAAATCAGCTTCAATGTTGAGATTTGTTAATTAATTAAGACGATTTTCTCTCATTGTTGATCTGAAATAAGTTTTGACCCTTTTTAATGTAGAAAACGATTTTTCCGTTGAACAATTACTTGAAGGTGTACATACATAGTAGCTTCCTTAGAGCAATATCAATATAAGGATATACTTCAACTAAACTATTCTCTTTTATAAATGCTAACATACATTGAACACTTTTAGGTACAATTTTACTCCTTTTGTAAACTTTTTAAATGTGTTCTAAAGTGAATACCGCGTTCTGTGTACGAGTTCGAGTCTTTATTATAAACATTGAACGAAAATATAATATCTTATCGAATAATAAATGTAATATACCTATTTTGCTATTTCACTATTACCTAGGTGACTAGGTATAGTATAATTTTTTTAATTTCTTATTAGATGCTCAACAAATTTTTTTAAAATACTAAACAATACCGAAAAATGTGTGAAAATTAAAAAAAAATCATAAACACATCAATAATAAAAGTTAGAATATTTTGCCACTCCCAAAAATTAGCCACCCGGGGCATTTGCCCCTTTCGCCCTCTCCCCTGGGGGAATGCGCCACTGGGTAGAACTAGTTTCAAAATGAAATAAATGAAATAATTGTTTTTTGTTAAATGACGCAATAGTGCTAATTGCTAAGTTATAACTTTTCTGCATCAAGTACCTACATTGTTTCAATTTTCGGATTGCGTTGAATGTTGATATGGGCAAGTTCCTCGTAAGATATAATGCATGTACTCGAAAACGTCATATTGCAATCAATTAGAACTAGGAATCGTGGTAGTACTCCCTTCTCGTCTTTTATTTCTCTTTCTACCATATGGGTATTATTTGGAGAATGCAATGAAGATATCATGTACACTGGTTTGTTGTCCAACCATTTGAATAGTTCTATGTTATTATTACTAATATAATAATTTATTTATTTATAATTTCAGTAAAATTATTATTAAATATAGGTAGTATCAATAGTCTGTGATCATTATATTCACTATTTATTGTATTATTGTACAAGTTGTTGAATTATAATAATTTGTACTAATTAATTGATTATTATAGCTACCTTACTCAGTTTACAATACTTCTATTGTAGTCCGTTGAACTATGTCGATTTTTAAAATATCACAACCATTTTGTTAATTGATTATGGTAATAAATATAAAATTTATCTCGAATTTATGTAGATAAAAAGTTAACTTTATTATCTTTATCTAGATAAAAGTATAATTAAATTATATTTATCTTCCTAGATAAAATATTTTTGGTTCATCTTTATCTTAATCTAGATAAAATTTTAGTTATCTGGGCTCAACACTGGGTATAATATTCATACGCTAATGAATCAAAGTTAATACAGAGTGGGGCACTAACCAGATATAGGTATGTTAAAATTCAATATAATAAACCAAATGAAACGTGCATCGAATATTATGATAATAATGAGGTATCGATCTAATTAGTCACACACATTGCATGTTCAAATGTTCAACATCAAATTTTTACTCATTTTCAGATTTTACCTCGGTGCACAGACATTAGCATTCGAAATCCTTTGTTCTATAGCATTAACTTTCCAAGTCAATTGCCAATGGCACTTTCTCGTCGACAGTCGACAGTGAAGCACGTACATTGCGTTATCGTATTTTCATGCGTTATCTTGCTGTGATCATGCTTTACGCTCGTTATCGTTTACCCTGCATTCATTTTCACATTGTTTTATTTTTGTTAAAAAAACACATCTCTTTCTGACAAAACTATTGTGAGAGCGTCAGCAATCTCTCGATCCTTCGGGTTCTGGGCAGGGACGCCCGCAGCAATGTAGCTCAGGGGGGGCAAACAATTGCAAGTACCTACCTAAATACTTATGGGAAGATTTATCGCTACATCTTTCATCTACTCATACTTTGTAATAGTATCGTTAATATTTTTTTAAAAATCAAAACTAATTTAAGTTAATATAAAATTACACTATTAGTTCTAATATTTACAAAAAACATAATAAAGTTTAAACAAAAAACAACTTTATTTGATTTGAATTTACATATTACATCATTACATGTTCCATATTACATCATAATATTCATACATCACATTACATTTTACTCAAAAAGTAATGATAATCTCCTTTTGTTAGAAGCAAATAAAATAATTGATTTATTAATTTGTTGATTAAAAAAATGTTCATCATCATACGTTTGGCGGTGTATATTAATTAACCCCAAGCTACTCAGTCTTTTGTTTCCCATCCTATTTCTAACCCATGTCTTTAAACGGCGTAAAGTGCTGAAACATAATAAAAAAGTTATTGTTAAATATGAATTTACATACAGAATAAAATTTGTAAAAATATTTATTTAAAAACCTTGCCTAAACGATCTTTCTACTGAGCAGGAAGTTACAGGTAAAGTAATTGCAATTTGTATTGCTTGGCATAACGCTGGGTAATATGTGGCGTAATCGAGAATATCAATTAATTTCATGGTGGGTTCGACTTCTTTCTTTTTCCATAGATCATACCATGACAGTGCTCTTTAAATTTGTCTAGAAGTGAATCATAAAGTGTACAAATAAATTCAACACTTTCTGCAAATTGTTGGTCGCTCTTTAGTTTCATTTTTTTGGGGTGTAGGTTGTATAATGTAAATATTTTTAATTTTTCATCTGAAAATCTATCTTTGAGAGACATTATAACTGATTCCAAGTATGGTATAAATAAAGATTGTCTAAAATATACCTCCACATCATTAGTTGGATAGTTTTCACGATGTACTTGTTTAACACTACGCCGTGGTAACTTTAACTTAAGATCTATTTTAGAAGCAACTAATTTTACTTCATTAAATATTGAATTAAATATATTCTCACAATTATTACGGTCTATTTCTAACATTGATAATAGGTCTTGAATATGTTTTGTAGCTTCTTGCAGATCAACATCTATCCCTTGAAGAACTGTTGATACAGTTTCAAATGTTGCAGAATATTTTGCCATGATTGATAATATTACAACAAATGTTGGAGTAGTGATTGCAGTAAGCATTTCATAGCAACGCTGTCTAGTTTTGCTGTTAAAATTATTTTGATATTTCTTCCAAGCCTTCAACAATTGTAACATATTGGTCCTTAAATTTTTTGATACATTTATGTTTTTCAACAAACCTTGTTTCGCATAATTTTGGCAAATTATTTCCTACAATATTTCTACGAAGTGCACTATCTCTAACAAATGTAGTAACTTCTTTTATTTTCCCTACACAAATTCTAACTTCGGCAAGAGAATTCAAATCATTTATTACCAAATTCAAACGATGACTAGCACAATGGAAAAAATTAGCCATGGGATACACATTATTAATTCTTTTTTGCACTCCAGATATATGGCCAGCCATCATAGCACATCCGTCGTACCCCTGTCCAACACATTTATTCATATCAATATTTAGGTTAGTAGGTACATACTTCTAATATTGTTTGAGTAATAAATGAGGCATCAAACTCTTGTAAGGGGAAAAAACCTAAAAATTCTTCATGTAAATTTTTATTATACAGATACCTTACACAAATTGATAACTGCTCAGTACCATTGATGTCAGCCGTTTCATCAACAATTAATGAAAAACAAAATGCTTGCATAGCTTCATTAGTAATCACAGATCTTAAACTAGAAGATAAACATTCTAATAATTCATTTTGCACACGGTGTGATATGTACAATGCATTTTTATTGGATTTTTCTAAATGAGTTTTTAAAGTCAAATCACCAGCATCAACCCTAAATTTTAATAAGTCATTAAATACTGCAGTGTTGTCTGTGTCTCCTCGAATCGGTAAATTATGTATTGCACAAAATAGAAGTGAAGAAATTATTGGCTTTAATTTATTTCTATTTTTTTCAATTTTATTTTTATAACAAGAATCTAACACTTGGTCAATACCACAGTTTGTTTTTTTCATATCTTTAAAATCTTTGGATCGTATGAAATATTCAATATGCCATTTATTTTTCTCATGTTGATTAGCCTTTTCTACAAATTTTTTATGATTTACAAATGAGCTGGTAATAAAAGATCCAAAGTATGAACCGTGTGTCACATGAGCCCGAAAGAGAACAAAAGTAAGGCAAAGAGCTCCTTTCAATAACTTTGAATATACTAACCATGGGTATTGTGAAAACCATTTATACAAATTGGACGTTTACTGTCTTCAACATCATTTTTAAAATTATAATGTTTACTAGGCTTCCATGGATTAGTTAAAAGGTCAAACTTTTTATCTTCAGAAATTTGTGAATAAGTTTCTATAAAATGTCCTAAATCGTTATTAGATAGCACATTTGTGTGGTCTACAGAAATTAATGCAGGATCAGCTATGCATTCTTCTACTTTATCTTTGTGATCAATTATAGCAAGTGACTTCTATAAAACCATAACAAATAAATGTAATGCTTATTACAATTAAAACAGTAAAATAAAAATATAATCAAAAAATTGTGAGTTTTATTTTTAAATAATTAAAAAGATTACCTACATTATAATTATTTAGTAGTAAATAGTTATATTCATAAAAAAAAATTATTTAAAATACATCCTATTTGTTATTTAAGTAAGTAGTAGGTACCTAGCCACCTAGGTATACTATTGTATTGTATTATTATATTAATTCATTTTTGATAAAATATTAACGAAAAATTAAATAAAAATAATCAAATGTAAGAAACTCAATTTGTATTTTACAACACTTACTTCATTAAAATTAGCTTCATCAGTATGGTCAGAAACAAATACAGGGTCATCTACGCATTTCTACTAGTTCTACTTCATGATGATCAATTGTAGCAAGTGGCTGCTATAAAAACAATACAAAATAAATTTAAATTTCAAGAAAGAGTCTTACTTTTAAATAATTAAAAAGACTACATTATAATATAATTTATAACTGAATTATTAATTAGGTATTTAATTAATAGTTATATTCATGAAAATAAAAATTGACCTTATTATGTCAATAATATTGGCTATTTATTATTTAAATATCCGGTTATTCTTGTGAGTTGTATTTACTGAAAAAATGCATACTTTAAGTATGAATGTAATTGATTTACTCGCAAAAACAATAAATTGTTATGATGGTAGAAAGTAATTTTAATAAAACATAAATAATCCAATATAAGAGCTTATCTTTTTTGTTTTATCATTTGAAAAATAAGAGTCACGTGCTCTCATTTTCTTCTTTTTAGGAACTGAATCCATATTTGCACTTTTGTAACGATTTTTTTTAATAATTTTAACTTAAAAATTAGTTAATTTGTAAATTGTAGGGCAACAACAGTCAACAATACGTGGACTTGGAAAACAATATTTCGTTAATCGTTTAATAATAATTTATAAAGAGTAATCGCACACTTCTACTCATGATAGCTGAACACATTACCCAGAATACCATAAATGTAATAATAATAATGTAATAATGTCTGTCAAAAGGTTTCTATTTCCGTCGACAACAGGCTGCTTTTATAATCGCGTATGCTTTCTAAGTATTTTCATTTTATTATTATGTTTTTCATACACGATTCATATATAATATAAATACTATTATTAGTAATTTATTACTATATATTATTCGGCAATAAGTGAGATCGACTATTTATAATTACTTTGACTCGTTCGCGCTAACAGGCAATCTGTAGGAACTAGCCAAAAGTGACTTATGGATTAATGATTATTAATAATCGTATTGTTTTTTTTTTCAATTAAATACCTCCTATATCATATATTATGACATGTTAGGTACAATGATTGTCGCATAGTCGCTAAATACCTAAATACCTAAGACCAGCTTTATGTAAAAAAAACTTCCAATTTTGTAACTGACACAAAAAATTTCAGGGGGGCAATGGCCCCCACTGCCCCCCCCTTCCGGGCGTCCCTGGTTCTGGGTAAGTTATTATTCATTTAATAATTAACTCCAACAATAAAATGCCAAAAAAACCTCAGTCACCGTCGGTATCGCTGTTATCTAAATCCACTAATGATAGCCCATTGAGCCCATCATTATAACCAAGCGCATGCAAACTCTAATCTCAATTCGTCGATAACCGAAAATTCATTAGCTGATACAGACTGGGTAATTGGTAAATCACCTGGATTCTCCTAACATTAATGATTTAACAAAACACTTTTCTCTCTTCATATCAGATCTTAAATCAGTTATCAATCCTCTAATATCACTACTAACTACAGTTATTAACAAATTAATTCTCAAAATTGACTAACAACCAAACATATGTATTCTTTCCACTAAAAATCTTACTATGGAATGGAAATGGTCTTCCAAAACATAAAAATAAACTACAAACCGTTTTAAATTATTTAAAAATAGATATTGCACTAATAACCGAAACCCAATTCACTGAAAAATCCAAATTCAGTGTCTTCAATTATACTCTTTATACATTTTATAAATCATCCTGATGGCATAGCACATACGGGTTCATGTATTTTAGTATCCAACTCCATCCAACTTAACATATTAATCTCTTTCCAAGAGCCATATATCCAAGCAACTAATATTTCAATAAACTTTCAATAAACTGTATCTTCTATATATTGCCCCCCTCGTCATATGCAATCCAACGCGACACTTTCCTCCGTCTCTTCAATACTCTAGGTCATTATTTCATAGCAAGGTGCGACTTCAATGCGAAACACTCTCAATGGGGCTGTATCTCCAATTACCAAAGAGGAAAAATACTTCACTATGTCCTAAATAATTGTAAGTTGTCGTTTGTATCTTCACTTGGACCCACTTACTGGCCTTCACATTCAAATTGAAACCCGGACAATCTCGACTTCTTATATCCCAAACCATCTTAATACATATGTCAGTAATACCTGTCATATCTCCAGTGACCACACCCCCGTAATCCTCTCAATTGGTGGATCTCCAAAACTAAATGATCGATCTTCGCTCACTAAAGATCCCATCGCCTGGGACCTATTCAAAACAAATCTTGACAATTTAATAGATCTTAAAGTTTCACTTAAAACACAAGATGAAGTCGAAAGTGTAGCACAAAACGTTGTCGAAATTATATAAAAAGCAGCTATTTCCTCAACTAAAACTATCCCTTTTAATTCATCACCCAATAACACTCTTTCATTCAACTAATGACTCCCTTTAAACAAAAAAAAAGAAATGCGAGATCTACATGGCAAAATTCTCGTCTCCTCAGCGATAAGAATATATTCAACCGTCTATCAAATCTTTTAAAAAAAGAACTTATCAAATACAAAGCCGAACAATATAAAAACCATATCAGTTCGTTAAAACCCACCCCCAATTCTCTATAGAGATCCACACGAATCAAGACACAAATAAAGTTCTAAAAAACCTGTCGAAAAAATGTATCCTCTCTTTGACACATATTTTCAATTCAATGCTACGACCATCCTATTTTTCCACCATCTGGAAACTTGCGGTCGTAATTATTATACCAAAGGTAGGGAAACCAAAAAACTTAGCCTCATCGTATAGACCCATCAGTCTCTTACCAACAATTGGCAAATTTTTTGAAAAATTAATTCTTTTTCGAATTCGACCTATCTTACATGAGTACAAAATCATACCCACCACTCAGTTTGGATTTCGACCAGGACACTCTATAATACACCAAGTCCATCGACTAACAGGTACCATTACCTCTGCTTTAGAAAGAAGGCAATATTGTGCTGGGCTCTTCCTGGATATTGCCCAAGCTTTTGATTAAGCCTGGCACGACGGGTTACTATTTAAAATAAAAAAATTCATGCCAGCTCAATTATTTTTAATTATTAAATCTTTTCTAGAAAATCGATGTTCCACAGTTAGACAAGGCAACTCCTTCTCGCCTCGATTCAATATCACTGCAGGTGTCCCCCAAGGTAGCGATCTAACACCCGACCTCTATAATATTTATACTACCGATATCCCACGAACTCCCAACACACTATTAGCCACCTTTGCCGACGACACAGTCTTATTGTCCACAAGTGATGATATTTCTACAGTTGCACACAATCTGCAATATCACACTAGCTTAATCGAAGTCTGGTGCAAATACTGGTTAATTAAAATAAATAAGAGCAAATCAACTCATGTTACTTTTACCCTTCACCATGGCAACTGTCCCTTAATCAAATTAAACAATATAAACATTCCTGTAAGTAATAAAACTAACTATCTCGGCGTTTTACACGACAAACGCCTAACTTAGGGCCCTCATTTCAAAAATAAAAGAAAAATAGCGAATAGCAGACTACATCTTTTTCGACCTCTCCTAAAATCCAAACTCAAACTTAAATTAAAAATACTATTATACAAAACCATTATATGACTACAATGGTCCTATGGTATTCAAATTTGGGAGCCAGCCAAACCTTCGCCCTATTCAGTCATTTCAAAATATAACCCTTCGAATCATCACTGGTGCTCCCTGGTATATATCGAATCAATCTTTACATAACGACTTACAAATTGAAACAGTAAATGCGCTTTTATGCACTTTCAAAACGCCATTATAAATAGTATTACACAAAACTATCATCAAATATTAACTCCTTGATTAAAAAAATGTCTTCAAATCTTATCCCCGACCAGCCTCCACGCAGACTGAAAAGAAACTAGAATCGTGACCTATTACTGTAACAAAACATAGAACTGTACAATCTTCCCCTCTGTACCTAGATAAGTAATTCAATCTAAAAAATTTTACGAGAAATATTACCAGTGGGTAACTTCCCCTATCAAGTGACTCATGTTATGTTACTGTCATGTTAAGATTTTATGTCTATAATATCAGAGGGATCAGAATACTATATGTAAATATGCTGATTATTTAACTTACAATTATATATCTGAAAATAGTATGCTTCCACCAACAATATGGTCTAATTTTAGTGCAAGTATATCTAGAACAACAAATAATTGTGAATCATTTCACGCAAAATTTAATGAACTATTTTATAATATATTATTATATTTATAAAAATAAATCACATCCACTTATTAATATATTTTTAAAAATTTTAATTTCTGATGTACAAAACAACACATACATTAAAATTAACAGTTGCAACGTAGGTATACAAAAATCTGTAAGATGTAATATAAAAATACAGTTAATAAATACAACAAACCTAATACAAGAATATAAAAATAAAAAAATTTTAAGAATGACATTTAAAAAAAAACATCCAACAATTATTTGAAATAATAAATAAATGTTTTTTCATTTTTATATTTCGTCACCGTTCACAGCACTCCATACCTCTTCCACGTATACACCACATTCTTACACACTTATATTAAATTAGTTATTTTGTCGTGGACTGGTGGGGAGCACGACGCACAAGTTAATAATAATAAGAATCAACACCAACGTGGTTTGTGAGATGGTAGTGGCTGGTGGGCTGTGTATTAAGTTTATATGAATACAAAATAATAATAGTAATAATATCCGTATATTCCAACGAACCAAAAGAATAATAATAAGGTAATATGTATAAACAAGGTGTTAAAAAACAAAATAGTGTTGTCGGTTTTGGTAGATCCGTGACGTTCAAAAAAAAATGGCGTATACGTAAAAGTAGCGATGCGACCGTACGAAGAGTTGACGAACAACAGTCCGTCGTTCCGACGACACTTGTCTTCGGCGGTGTAGATACTCCGCTTTCCCCGCTACTGTAGGAAGGCGCGGGGTGCGACGCATCGGTATCGCGATCCGCGAACTGTCGACGATTAGGAGACTATAAATGCGGTCGGCGGCATCCATTGTAATAACGGCCGTCGCCGGGTCCACGTCATTTTTTTCTAGTAAAATATTCTCTAGAAATAATTTATATGGTAAAACAACATTTGTCGGGTCAGCTAATCTGTATACATAAAACAGTAAGCTGATTGACTGCTATCAACGCACAGCTCAAACCATTGGACGGATCTGGCTGAAATTTGGCATACAGATAGCTATTATGATGTAGACGTGCGCTAAGAAAGGATTTTTCGAAATTTTGAATTTAAAGGGTTGAAATCGGTAAAAGAAAATGTTTACATGTAATTTGTATTATTAAACCTAACTAACCTAACCTAAAGGTCCTAAGTCTGCCAAGTAACAGATCCCTTATATCTTTGGGACAAATTCAAAGAATACCTATCTGAAGATTTTAAAATACGATTAGAATGACAGGATTTCGTGGATGTAGAACACTTAGCGGAC